ACACAGATATATACAGTATTTTGAATATTATTATTAAATATTATTATTCTTTTTTCTTCCTTTTTACAGTACAATAGTTATATATTTCTTCATTGATTGTTGAATTTTTAGAATTTAATAATAATTAAAATATATGAATAATAATAATAATTATTATTAATAAAAACTGTATTTTTATTGTTGTTTATTTCCTATATTTTAAATAATGTTGAAATACAGTATTTTGAATATTATTATTAAATACTCTTTTTTTTCTTTTTTACAGTACAATTTTCTTATATTTCTTCATTGATTGTTTAATATTTAGAATTTAATCATAATTTAAATATATAAATATATTATTATTATTATTAATAAAAACTGTATTTTTACTGTTGTTTATTGCAAATTAAAAATATTATCATATTATCATCATCATCATTAAAAGTTACTATTTTATTACAAGTATTAATATTATTATATTATTACAAACATTTGGAATAATAATAATCATTTATATTATTATTTAGTCTTATTAAATGGAGAAAAACAGGTTTCTTTTCTTTTCTTTTGTCTTTGTCTAGCCGATGACATGCGTCTTCATGAGTATTTGTGGGAAACTTTGATGCTTTTAACTCAAGTGAATGTGAAATAAAACTAACTGAACCAGAAGTTGTTGAATCACTGTGCTCTTTATCAAGACACTTCACCTCGAGTCACTGTATAAAAGTCTTTGCTACCTGTCTCATTTTTTTGAAGTGTTTGGGTCTGTGTGTGAATGCTCAGGTGGCGCTGGATCTTTGGCAGCACCTGGAGATCTGTAAGGAGGGTCAGATGTCCTGGCTGAGCCGGCGTATCGACGAGGCTCACTTCATCATCACCGTCTGCTCCAAAGGCCTGAAGTATTTCGTGGAGAAAAGACACCGTAAGGGCAAAGCCACGTCGAAGGAGAACAACCGAGAACCGACCGCATCCGACTCCGCCGGAAGCAGGGATCTGTTCATCGTTGCCACGGCGATGATCGCCGAAAAAATCAAAGAGGTGCATCAAAATTCCTCGGACCTCTCGCGCTTCATGTCGGTGTACTTCGACTACTCTCACGAGAGCGACGTACCGACTTCCCTCAGCCTCGCGCCCAAATACAAACTAATGGACCAGCTTCCCCTGCTCTTCGCCAGACTCCACTCTCGCCAGCTCAGCCTGACCGACCGCGAGCCGCAGCCTCCGAACGTCAGCAAACGCAACTACTTCCGCAGCAAATCGGGCCGCTCGCTGTACGTGGCCATCTGTAACATGCACCAGCACATCGAGCAGGAGCCCGACTGGTTCGAGAAGCAGCTCATGCCGCCGCCGCTCCCGAATAAACTCCTCCCTCCTCCAGAGAAGCTGGACTCGGGGCTCGTCCTGAACGAGGTGAAGCTCAAACACCCCTCGGAGAGCGACTGTCCCGTGAGGAGCAACGTCCTGATGCTGCCGCAGACGCCGAGGCTGGGGCTCTCGCTGAGTTTGTCGCAGGAGGATCTCGGGGAGGGTTCGTCTCATCAGGACGCGGGGTCGTCTCGGCCCGACGGATCGGCCAGTCCGGTGGAGATGCCCAGAGACTCGGGGATCTACGACTCGTCCGTCCCGTCCTCAGAGCTCTCCATCCCGCTGATGGACGGACTCTCACCGGACCACGACAACTCGTCTCTGGCCGACAGCGTGTCCTCCTCCTCGGGACTGGGTAGGCATTTAACATATAGAAATATACCATTTCATTTTAGGGAAATAATTCCCTTTAAAATATAATATATGCAATTTTTTTAATAATATATGCAATGTAAATATGTACTGAGGTGTAAGTGGGTCGTGGAGCTTCACACAAGGTTGTGATTTTTCCGTATTTACATGGACTTTCATACGCACTTGTGTAATTGAAAACACAACACGTGTCAACCATCCATATTTGTAATGATTTGTAAATAATTTATAAATCTATAAAAAAACTGAAAAGATTTACAGCTAGAAGTAAAGAATATTAGTATATATTAGTATTGTAGTTTCCCTGTTGATCTGCGAAATAAAACAGTGATTATTATTAAAATTTATATTATTATTATTAAATAATTGTTTGTTTTACAGTACAATAGTATTCTTGCAATAGTAATTTAGATTAGTTTAATTTTCTAATTTCTAACTATAAAATAGAAATATTATTTTGATTAATAACAACAACAATAATAATTGTTGATATTTATTGATTAGTTTAATGTTTATAATTTAATTAATAATAAAATATAAATATTTTGAATTTTGTTAATAATAATAGTAGTAATAATATTAAATACTTGTTTTTTTTTATTTTACAGTTCAGTGGTATGATTGAAATAGTAATTTATTTTTTATTAATTTGTTAATTAGTATTAGTTAATTAGCATTAATAATAAATGTTATTATTTCAATAATAAAATAAAAATATGATTTAGAAATAGATAATAATTATTGTTATTATTGTTGTTAGTAATAGGGGGTAATAGTAATAATATAAAAAAAATTACAGTATAGTGTTATGATTGCAATAGTAATATTTTTGATTAGTTTAATTTTTAACATTTAAATCACTATAAAGTTTAAATGATTAATTACAATTATTATTAATAATATTAATAAATACTATTTTTTTTATTTTAAAGTACTGTAGTATGATTGCAATAGTAATGTTTCTTCATTGAATATTTTTTAAACTATAAAGTTTAAATGATTAATTACTATTATTATTAATAATATTAAGGAATACTAATTTTTTATTTGAAAGTACTGTAGTATGATTGCAATAGTGATGTTTCTTTATTGATTAATTTTTGTTAAATTGTTACATTTTTATAATTTAAATACTAAAATACAATTATTCTTAAATTGATAATGATAAGAATACTAGAAGTAGTAATAATAATAATAATAATTATTATAAGTACTATTTTTTACAGTACATTATTATGTTTGCATTAGTAATACATTTCCTGATTGATTTTGATTTGAAGTTTAATTTTTATCACTTAAATTACTATACAATTTAAATGACTAATTACTATATTATTAATTATTATTTCAGAATAGAGTTTTATGGCAGCTATATTGACCATGCATGTGTTTTTGTGTTTGTAGGTGATGAGTAATAATAATAATAATTATTATTATAAGTACTATTTTTTACAGTACATTATTATGTTTGCATTAGTAATACATTTCCTGATTGATTTTGATTTGAAGTTTAATTTTTATCACTTAAATTACTATACAATTTAAATGACTAATTACTATATTATTAATTATTATTTCAGAATAGAGTTTTATGGCAGCTATATTGACCATGCATGTGTTTTTGTGTTTGTAGGTGATGAGGAGCCCCCTGCTGTCAGCTCTCTGCACTGCGCAGCTCCCACTATATGCAAAGCAGAACTTCATCACAACATCCATCAGAGTGAAGGACTCTTAGCCGCTGCCTCCACCTAATGGCCTTCAGCTGTACTTGCATCGCCACTTTAATTCCTGTACTTACCACTGACTTGGACAAGCTGCCAGCGAGTCTTCAAAATCCCTCATCAGGGAAATTCTTTGACGGATCGGATCTTAAGGGATTGAACACTGAGGTGTCTGCAGGCCTGTGTTTTGCCGAGGCGCTTTTTAACCAAAGTGGTTGTGTACTTAGTATGCAGCCGAGTCTGTGGCGTTACAGCGGTGTGTGTTACTACAAACTCCACGTCATTCAGACCTTCTTGCTTTAAAAGTGCCATGAAGCTGTGGACATGAGCGTGTTGTGCTGAATGCCAGTCGTTTTAACATGTAGTTTCACTTTTATTTATTGCATTAACGTGCTTCAGTTGTGGGATAACATGAAAAGCAAACAGACGTGTGTAGATCAGCACTTCATGTTTTTCACATTAGCTGAAGCGGTTTGGAGGTAACGCTCGATTTTAGAAGCATATCAAGAGCTTTTTAATGATTTTAGGCCTTCATTTGTTTTAAGTGGATCTTAAAAAAAGTTGAAAAATGTTGACAGCAGCATAAACAGATTAGAGTAGGTCTAATGTTTGTATATGACAAAGGGAAGTACAAGCTAAACAACTGAGATATGCCATTTTGTTAACTTTATGAGTTTTATTTGTGTACTACTTGTTTATCCAGGTTTTGTACAGTTTTTTTTTTTTTTAGAATATTAGAAGTGATTTCTACATTATATAAACTTTGTACTGTTTTATAGTACTCTAATGTAGGGGATACGACTTAATAAAACGAAGATTTATATGCATTGTGAGTTATTTGTGAGGTTTCCTATATTTGAAGTGCAAAAATACACATGCTTGAAAAATGTGTTAAAATTTTTGCATGCTAAAAATATGCATATAAAAATAAGTCGTGACTAAAAACTTTAGTGACATTATAAGTGACTTATATTATAAAATGTTATATACAATCAGTTATTTTAAGCTAAATATATGCATATGAAAATGTGAAAAAATTACAAAATATTACAAATAATGAAGAGGTGTTTAAAAATACCAGTAACATTAAGTTATTTTTGTTCACATATATTCCGTTTTTTTTATGCTAGAAATCGGCGTATTAAAAAAAACTATATAATAATATTACAAGTAGCGAGGTGGTTAAAAACTACACAATAATATTTTAAGTGATTTTTATTTGCATATATTCAGATTATTTTGTGTGCTAGAAATATGCATATAAAATAAAATATGTAAAATATGAGGTGATTAAACATTCCAGAGTGACATTTTTAAGTGATTTTTATTCGCATGCATTGACTTTTTTGTATGCTAGAAATGTGCATATATATAAAAAAGTAAATATTACAAATAAAGAGGTGACATTTTGAGATAGGCTATTTATATTTTCATATAGGTGGATTTTTTTTTTGTTGCTAGAAATATACATACATTTTAATTACCTCTTCATTATTTGTATTTTTACATTTGCACATATGCACACACAAATAATGAAGAGGTGATTAAAAACTTACTTTTTTAAGGTGATTTATATTTGTATTTATTGTCGTTTATTGAGCTCAAACCAAGTGATGTGAAAAGTTTGTAGAAAGAGTCATTTTCCTTTTCCACAAAACAGTACACAGGGTGTCCTCGGTCCAGGAGGTTTTCGGCCATCACAGACACTAGTAACTTTGCGTAGCCTTCCCGTCTGTGTTGTGGTAACGTGTAGAGCAAACCAAGAGCAGCGTGTTGGTACACAAGCAGCCAGGAGACGGGCTCGGTGCCGCCCTCCTCTATCACGCACAGTGAAGGATTGTGGGTAATGTAGTTCTGCACCGAGTTGTAGCTGTTATGGTCTCCGCCATACTTCCACGTGCTGTTTACTAGATGAGCGTGAGCTGGACTAAGCAGAGCCAATCTGAGTCCAGCATAACTGAAAAAACATCGAATATAAGAAAATGTCAAGTAATAAAAACAAGGAAAATTCAAGAAGGTAGGCCTATTTGTTAAATAAAATAAGGTACAATGTGTTGTTTCATTTTTTTTTTCAAACCCTGCAAAAATGGCAAAACTCATAAATAAATGAAAAATATAACAATGGTATAATATTTGCGTTTGTGCTGGATGGACGTGTTTTGGGATATTAAAGCAACTGTAGTTCTGTGTATTTTTGCAACTTTGGAGGCCCCTTCAGATAAGTGAGTGTAATTCACTGTAGTAAATATATTCACTGCAATACCAGAGCTGCTTTTATTATTGGGAGATATCCGCGTTCTAAAAACTTTGATCATGTGTGCTTTGATAACCAATCACATCACAGCCTCCACGTTATTGAATTTCTGTCAGAGTTGTGGGACAGTCAATGCTGTTTGCGGATAGCATAGAAATGAATGAAAAGTACCATAAACCTGTTGCAAAATTGTCCATGACTTCTCCTACAAAACAGTAGCCTATTTTTTCTGTGTAAAGTCTAACAATAGGCTAGATACATCCAAAACGAATGTGAATTGATTATGCTGTAGATTCTTTAAACAAAAAGCTGTTTATTCAGCATAGTGAAACCTCTGCTTTGGCTGTAGACGTGCATTTGTTGCTGCCGTAAAGCAATCCACCATTTTCGCGGTATTTCGTACCCGCTCAGCGAACTTACTGGTTTGTGAGAGGAACAGAAGCCATTCGCCTTATGTTAAGTCAGTGTATCGTCAGAATGAATTTGACACTGATATATAAAGGTAAAATCAATCGCATACAGTTGCTTTAAGCCTAACATAAGATAACATTTGATGTTTAAGAGTATGATAATGATAGCACCTCTCTTTAAAGGGGTCATAGGATGCCCATTTTCCACAAGTTGATATGATTCTTTAGGGTCTTAATGAAAAGTCTGTAACATAGTTTGGTTAAAATTTCTCAATGGTAGTGTAAAAAACAAATTTTTTACCCGGTCAAAAACAGCTATTTTCAAATCAAGCCGTTTTTGTAGCATTTTCCTTTAAATGTTAATGAGCTCTGTTGACCCCGCCCCTCTCTTCCGAGCCGCTCTCAGAGAGACTGTTTACTTTAGCTGCATTCATCGTGAAACTTGCTAA